ATCGCACCGTTTTGAATCGAGTTATCGTGCTAACTTATGTCTTTCTTATATACAACTTCTTTTCTAATATAAATTTATTTACTACTTGCACTACAAATATAACATTGCTACAAAATTAATTTAAATTGTAATAAATGTGCAGTAAAGTATTACATGTTTTAATTTGAAACGTATTTGTTTCGGTCAATCTTCCTCTAAATCCATCCTATAAGCATATGTGAATAGGCCTATTTATTCATCGTTTCATTTATTGAAATGTACGTAAACATGTTCTCTTTAAAATTAAACAAATCTCTGTATACAGTATAAATTATTTGTGTTTTCGTTTTCAAAGCTTTTTTCATGATAGCGTGATTCGTTAAAAAAAAACATTGCAGATCGCAGCTACAGTTTTACTGTAGAGTTTGGAGGATAGAACATTTAAGGTAGCTAAGTTAGAAAACCGTAAATTAATAGTTTTTTTTTTAGGTTTGGTTTATAGTTTGGTTTATAGACCAGTTTATAGTTGGGTGGACAACCAACAAATTGATTTGAAGATGGTTTCCTAAAAGGTCAAAGACATGATAATAATTTATTACTCCTAGGAATTTAATAAAAAAAAAAACACAATTAATTGTAGGTGTTTTTATTTGTAATATTGTAAGTTATTAAACTTCAAAAACATATTGGATCAGTTAATAAAGGAAATAGTTATTAGTTTAGGAGCTGTAAAGGTTTTTTGTTTTTATTTTTAAATTCTTTTGTCAACAGGGTATTTCAACAAACTACAATAAATTGAAAATCGATAAACCAATTATTTAAGGTTGAAATTGTTAATAATTACTAGGTAAATCGTCAGAAGTTTTTATTTTGCATGAATATTTTTTGAAACTAGAGTACTTTTAAAACATTTTTTTTATATCACAAAACTGCTTTCTTTTTAATCTTTTTAACTGCTATCTTATATGAGTTCATATAATGTATCTATTTCTTTTGCCCCGTATCACCGGTTTTAAGCTTTGATTTCCCTTTTCCTCAGTAGATAAATATAATTCACTAGCTGAGTACCCGTCCTTCGTACGGGGTTGGTATACAATGCTTATTGTAGTTAAATACTCGTGCTTTGCATTTGCAATGAGAGAGGACACGTTTTGAGAAAATTTGGTTTACTATAATCTACGGTATACTATAGTATATAGAACATCTACCATAGCCATAATGTTCTACCACTTTACCTAAACAATAGAAAGAAGTAAAGTTCTCACACTCAGGTTTTTGTTGCTTCTTGGTTCAAATTAGCTGTTGTCATAAATGTATAAAGAACTAATGGTGCTGCACCCTGTTGGTAAACCGTATAGGCTAACCTTTTAATGCTAGTAGTTAATTAATGCGTGATTGAACTTAAAACAAACAAACAAATAAACAAACAAACACACAAACTTTCACATTAAATAATATTAGTATGATTACAAGATTTTAAAATGTGCCAAAGTCTAGTTTATAACTAACAAATATACATTGGTGATAACTTTTTGGGATTATATAATCCGGCTAAACTACAGTATTTTCTTATGCCAATTAAATTTAAGAAAACTAGCTGTTACCCACGGGCTTCACCCCGTTTGACTTCATAAGTATTAATAAAACTAGTGATTGGTTAGGTTAAGCTGAAATAAACAAAACAGAATACAGTAATACGAACAAATAATCTCGCCTGATTTTAATAAGGTAATAAATTGAAAGAATAACATACAAATGAATACAGCTGAGGTATTTTTAACATTAGGTATATGGAAAGTTCCCTTTGGAAAGGAATTACGACCTTAAAGGGCAATTTAAGAAATAATGGATAGTTTTGCGCAAGGTTTCTCGTCATGACGAACATTTGAAGTATATGGTTTATGGGGGTGTGACTTGTAGTTTTCTCAAAAGTCCATGGGTACTTTTGGCTTAATAATATAGAAGAGATGTATACTATACTAGCTGTTTGCCCGTTCTACGTACGGGAATCTTGTAGTAAGTTGAAACCTCATATTCAGAACAGGAGTTGGTTTGCATATTTAGTGTGAATTTTTCCAGATATGCTGCCAAAACTACTACTGTATAGGAATACATATAAACCTTCGCAAATACAATATCTGACAGTTTCAAAGCCAAAACGAATGCTTCGCAATTAAATGTCACCCGATCGTGTTAGTCCATATATAATATCTAATGATAAAAGGACTTGCTTTATAGATATATGAGGCATAGCCCTAAGGTAGGCCTGTAATTGAAAGTTACTTTTCACACTGAAAATACCACCTCAACCTCACTACTGCACACTTTATTCGGGTTGAAATTTTCATTAACAAAGGTGATCTTGTCTTTTCCACGAAACACTGAGAAATAAAGACATTAATGGGTTACCAACAGACATACACACACAAATACAGAATTGAATTAAGGGATTTGCTACGCTTTAACCAAAGAAGTCTACAAACAAAATAATTTTTTTAAAGTTTTGATATTGTCATCAAATTTTATGATAATGGATTTTTCAAACTGTAAAATTGGTGTAAATCCTTTGGCAAATATATAAATAAGTAAATAAATACACAGTCTACAAAACATTTATACGTTAACAACGCCAAGCTTTAAAAAATCATGATGGTTTGCTAAAAAAATCTTTCACTAATGTTTGATCATTTTCATAGAATAAACTAACATTTTGGATTCAAGACAGAAAACGAAAAAATTATAGAGTAAGACATCAATTAAATTTAATAAGAAATAAGGTGCAGCACTAACGATAACTATAGTTGTAAATAGTGATGTGGTTGTACGTAAAAATGATTCTTACTGCTACCACCGGTTCTAAGGAAAAGTATCAGTACTATAAACCAACGTTTACATTTATGAAAAGAACTATAGTACTTAAGAACAATTCAAACTGTCCATGTAATCAACCTGTATTATTTGTGTTAATCCGTTGGCAAATATACATAAATAAATAAATACACAGGCCACAAAACATGTAACATTTATGTTAACAACGTAAAGCTTTAAAAACTCCCTATGGTTTTCTCAAAAAAAACTTTCTCTTGATGTGGTGCAGTACCGTAGTTATTATAATCTCACTTGGTTTTATTTGTTTTTAAGTTTTCGTAAATCAAAGGTATTTCCCATTAATAGCATTATTTGTAATTAACTTTTAATGTTAACATATTAATGACAGTTTGAAGAAACCACCTTTATCCAAACAAAGTTTCTTATAAAATATTACGTAATCTCTAATCGATAATCGATTCATATATCTAGCAAACATTCGGAGGAAATGTGACAGAAAACTCACAAATCTGGGGTTTTGGACGTTTGTAGTTTTACTTCCTAAGTAGAAAAAATGTACCGATATCGTTGTCGAAATGTAAGTAAGTAGAAACACAAAATGACACTTTGGAAAAGCGAGTTTAGCTACATCTGTAAGTTAAACCTCTGTTACGATCACAGTGAAATCAGAAAGTTCTTCCAAGATCGCAGCAACATCCACGATCACCTACTGCAGTTGTGATTTTTTACTTTGCACTTTACACAACTGTCCTTGAAGGGCCATAAATGAGTGCGGAAACCTTTTTGTAAGCATTGGTGACGACGATTTAAAAAATTTAAGTTTCCCAGCACTAATACAACACTGATTCACGGTATTTTCCCCGGATATAAAAACTCAAGAACACTCGTTGCACTTGCGATTAATTAAACAGGTTAAGTAAGGCACAACGTTTCTAAACTCACTTGGTTTGGATGTGCTAACAAAACTTGATCGGAAATGGTTGCGGTATTTGTAAACAACTTCTAATGTAAACATATCAGTGACAGCTAGAAGTGAGAACTAATCCAAACAGCTGATCGTTATTTAATAAAATGTAATAAGAAACATTGGGAGAAAATTTGACAAAAATCAAATTTTCTTGAGAGAGCCAAAGACACTCTCACCAATCCAGTTAATACAGAAAAATGATTAAACCTTGATCGGTACTCTAGTGTTCTAGGAGTAGGCCGCGTAAAATGACATTTTGGCGTTACAGACGGAGTCACAGAATGGACAGACAGACATACAGACAGAAATTGAGATAAGACTCGTTTCGGCTTTCTTAGGCTATGAAACGTAAAAATAACCAAAAACCGCATGATTCTAAGCAATGTACAGACAAAACTGTAATTTTATTTATATAGATTCAAGTTATAAGCAATAGTAGTTCTTGTGGCTGGGATGAAATTTCCACTAAATTATTGGAATGTACTGCTGAAATTGCTTCTAATGTAATAGCAGTACTGTTGACTCATTATCCTATCATTCGGTGGAAACATCGTTTATGACTTAACATTTTATGAGATCAAACCAAGTATGAAATGAATCCCGCAGAATAATGGTAAGAATTGCAGGCCAAACTTAAGAGCTAGACCTATCCAAAATCATTTACTAGAGTTAAAGTTATAAATCTTATGGATTTTTCAATGTATTGAGTTAAGCCAACTTACCTAGGAACTTAAAAAGTTCAAGGGTTCTGTGCCATTTTTATTTGTATTAAAATGAAAATCAAATGATTCTCAGTGGCTCGCCTGTTAATGTATTATTAGTACTGAATGGTGCAATATAATAGCCTTACCAACTAAACTAGAACCTAAAAAGAACAAACTTGTTTTAACAAGTTTCAAGATTTAATAAAAAAAGTGAATTTGTTTTGATCAAATGAAATTGTAAATGTAAATAATTTTGATCTTCGGTTCTAAAAGCATTATGACAGTAGCTAATTAAGTATTAAACAAAAAATGGTTGTTATTGGAAGCAAATAAAACTTGCACACGGTGGAAATAAATTTATCAGACTGCGATAAAAATTATAGATACTAACGTAGAATCTAACTAAATAAAAAGATATCAAGGAAGAGGACGGATTAATCAGAGAGTGGTGATGTCACGGTGAGGATAAAGATTCTATAACTGAAACAGTTGACAACGGAGTAGTGTGAAACACTGTCAGCATGGCTACTGACAGTGGACCTCCACAAGTATTCAAGACCAAAGCTATACAAGACTCAACTGTAGAACAATCACTGTCAAGAGATACAACTCCAGCCACAAGAGAACAGATGGAGATGGATCTCTTCGAGGGAGGAGAAAATCTTCATCAAGGTACACGAGTATACTTTAGAAAAAAAATCATGGATAGTATGGAGGAGGTGTCAGGAGACTTGAAGATTCTCTTAGACATTGAAAACGGACTATTTAATAGCAGAGAATTGCAGTTACTTACATTAAAATGTGTAATATCTGAGATAAATGTAATTATGTTATGGTGTGCGTTCTTGGACAGATTAGACTTGATGAAGGTTCTTGACAAATTAGGGGCCGATGTGAATTTTGCTCTTCCTAAAATAGGAATTTCCAGTATTCATTTAAGTGCCCTCAACGGTTGTTTAGAATCAACTAAATGGTTGATTAAGAAGAATTGTAATGTTAACTTAAAATTTCAGTCTGTGACTCCATTAGATTGTGCTGTGATTGGAAATTCTATTGACACGACTGCGTTGTTGTTGAAACATGGTGCAAAAGTTGAAGAAAGTCAACTTTACTTTGCTGTCAAGATGGATGCTGTTGAATGTCTGTCGCTTTTAGTTCGCAGGAAGATGAATGTCAACAGCTTGGACACCACAGACATGTCGCCTTTGCATATGGCAGCTCATCTGGGGAGGGAGCAATGCCTTAAAGTTCTATTGAAGTGTAACATCGATGTTGATATGGAGACTAAGGAAAGGAACTCTGCATTGCACCTAGCAAGTGAAGGAGGCCATGTGGCCTGTGTTCTATTACTGGCCAATAAAGGAGCTGATGTTGCTAAACGTAACATAAGGGGGCAAACACCACTGCATATTGCAGCCAAGTACCACCGTAGTGAATGTGTCCAAACTTTGTTGAAAGCCGGAGCAGATGTAAATGCTAAAGACTCTGACAATAGAACACCTCTGCATGCAGCTGTGGTGTGGAAGGATGATTTGTTGGCATGTAAAACGTTAGAAATACTACTTGCATCAGGAGCTGATCTTAATGCAAGAGATGACTTTGGGTTTTCAGCTCTTCATGTAGCTGCGATAAATCAGTTGGCCCAATGTGTTGATGTCTTGATCATGGAAGGTGCTGATCTCGGTAGTCAAGCCAAAAATGGACTAACAGCTCTTGCGATAATCATTGAGCGAACCCCTGCTTGTTTGGCAATCATCAATAAGAAACTGGACAGTTACATAACCACCCATGACTCAGCTTCATCAAACTGGATGGGAGAAGTGATTCTAGAATTTGAATACTTTACTCAACACTCATCCATAGGAGAATGCGAACTCTTGAAAAGGTTTGTTGACGAAGGACATCAACGACTGCTGGAACATCCTCTGTGTAATGCGTTTTTGTTGTTAAAATGGGAAAGGTTGAGATTTCTTTATTTTAGCAGGATAATGTTAAGTATTATGTTTGCAAACCTATTAACACTTTACTTAATGGCAGGCCTGACCAACAACTGTTACAACGCTTATAAAAATATCAGCAGATTCGATCAGGAGCTTTGCCTCAACAACTCATTGTTTGGCAAAATACTAATTAGCAATGGTCTTGTTATAGAGGCAATATGGTTCATTCTTCTAATCATTACAAGTCTTGAAATTACAAGAAAAGTCTTCAGTATGACCGCGTATCAGTCCATCATTCAGTATGTTTTTCAGTGGTCACAAGTTATGGAAATCTGTCCAATCTTCAGTGTATTTGCCACATCTTTCATTTACACTGGAAGGACTTACGCCTGTCAAAACTATGTTGGTGCTTTTGGTGTATTGTGTGCCTGGGCAAACGTAATGTTGTTCATAGGACACGAGCCTGCTTTTGGACTGTATGTAGAAATGTTCACCAAAGTTCAGCGGAACTTTTCCAAGCCCCTTTTAGCTTACGCACTTCTTATTATTGGATTTACTTGCAGTTTCTGCATCATATTTCCTGAAGAAAAAACTTTCAGAAATCCATTTACAGGTTTTATGACGATTCTGTTAATGATGACTGGAGAACTCGATGTTTCGTTGCTAACCGGCGAAGGAAACGTCCTTCATCAAATAAGTTCCCACTTGATTCTTTTCTTGTTTTCTCTTTTAGTGACAATCATGCTCTTGAACTTGCTAGTAGGTATCGCTGTTAGTGACATACAGGGTCTCTACAAAACAGCAGGGATCTCAAAACTAGTCAGATTAACAGAGTTGATGCATTTCATGGAGATTACCTTGTTACAAAATTGCATTTTTCGTAAATGCATTGAGTGGTTAGGAGATGAAACAATGAAATCTTATCCCAGAATCTACATCCGTTCCATGGACCCAAAGGAAAACCGCTTACCTAAGGAGCTTATAACGGCTGCATATAGGATTGCCAGGAAACAGAAGAAATTAAAACACAACATTTTTGACCAGTACAGCTGGGATGGAAATCAACTAGAAGAGGAGGTTCAAAACTTAAAGCAACTTCTGCAAGAACAGCAGCAGATTTTGAAGCAATCCCTGCAGGAGCATCAACAGTTTGTGAAGCAATTGCTACAAGAGCAACAGCGAAGTGTGAGGGAATTGTTGCAGGAGCAGAAGAGTGTGGAACAAGTACCAACTTCACATACTTGGGCGTGAACATGATTGTAAGACTATTGTAAGGATTGTAAGGACTATTCAGTTTTTGAGCTCTATTTCTTAACAAAGTAAAAAAAAATCATTGGAATGGTTTTCCTTATAATACACTACCTACTATAAATATTTAATTTTTAAAAAGTAATGTTAGTACGAGTTGGCATTTAAACTATAAGTTGTTATGCTATTTTGTAATATTCGAAGCTTAAGATTTCCAAACATTGTTTTTTAATGAACAGATAAACATAGGCTAAGTAACAATTTTAATTTCAAATGTTATTTGGTTTTCCTAACTGACGGAATCATTTAGTCTATAAATAGTTTATCCTACAGTTTATTGTCAAATCCAAATGAGTATTTCTTTCAGAAAAACTTAACTTAAAAAATTAAGTGTTTCAGACAATATTTTTCTATTTTTATAATATTAGCTATGCACATTTCACATTTCTTTACCACATTGTAAAAGTGAATTCTTCTGCTATTCAAATCTTCAAATGGCACTATTTACAAAAGATCCAGAGATTTTACAATTAAAATGGAAATAGTATTAGAAGAATCATTTACATAGGTCTACTTGTTGTATGTGAACAAACAATATTTGCACCAGTGTGTATCAAATTCTACATTAACAAGAACAAGCAAAATTATTAAATTGTTATGATTATGAACTTATAAAAATGTCACCACGACAGTCATTTTTGAACTCAGGACATTATTTAGCATCATATTAGTATAAAAGATACTCTTTTAACGGGACATCTATGATCGATATAATTACCAGTAAGTCTTATTCATAGCTTGTCGATCTAGGAAAGGTCCAGTAGATCTTTTGTTCAGAATGATGAGCATCTCTTGGGTGATCAAAGCGACTAGAGCTGGAATCACTTCATGTGAAGATTAAATAAACATACACTTAAACATTAATATAGTATTTTAGTAATAAGAAAATACGAGGAGACTCAAGTGCAAATTGTGCAGTTTAGGTTCCAAAACTTTTTTCTAAGGCAAAATGAGTCCAGTTCAAGTGCAATACCATTGACTATAATGACAATACCCATTTACCTCTTCAAGATTATGTTTGCTTAGAACATTGAATTGTTAGGTGAATAGAACTACTAATTTACGATATATTTGTTGATATTAGATCTACACTATGAATTGTGATTTGTACCTACCTTAATCATTAAAAATACAACATGTTTATAACTGTAAGGCATTTTTTACAATCCAACTGGTACAATCCAAGTTTAGATTATGGGTTGGTGGAAGGATATACTAAGGTGTGCTATTCCCGTCATATTCTGACGTCACTCGGATTGAAAACAAAAGATCACCTCTGATCGTAACTGTCAAATTAGTATTTGTTTTGATTTGGTTGTTATTGTTTTTATAATGAACACATTCAACTATTTTGAAAACATTATAAAAACAGTAACAATCATATATATATAAATTTCCAATACCTCTTTGTGCCATCGAGCTCGAGGACTCCGACTCTGGCAATGACATTTTTGGCCTTGAATTTATTTTCCATTCAAAAATTCCGATTAAACTAAAGCGAAAGTCTAAACCCATCCCTCAGTGTATTCCGCTGTCAACGCTATGGACACACTAAAAACTATTCCAAACTTGATCGCCGTTGTGTTAAATGTACAGGAAACCATTTATTTTCAAATTTTCCTAAAAATAGAGAAGATCCAGTCCAGTGTGTTAACTGTAATGAGTCACATACAGCTAATTATCGTGGCTGCCCTTACTACCTCAGCCTTAAGACACGAGCAATCAGCAAAAGAAATCAACCAACAACCAATCAAACGGAAATCAGCCATAATCAAGTTCAATACAACTCCAGTAGTAATTTTCCTGCTTTGCCAACCAAAAACCGCAATCCTCCAATAAGTTCTCAAAGTGAAAACTTTGCTACCCCACACAAAACTTATGCTAATGCTACAAACGGATCAAAACATAAACGTACTGAAACACAAACTCCCCATCCTGAACCTGACAACTCAGAACACGACTTTCTTCACCCTATTTTAAAATCACTATTATCTCTAGTTAAACCTTACCTCCCTCAAATTAAATCGTTCATCTCTCAGTTAGCATCATCTATTTTCCAGAATGGATTTTAATTTACACCCAGTGAATAACTTAAAAATACTTAATTGGAATGCGAATGGTATAAAGGAAAAGCGTTCTTCATTTATTGTTTTTCTAGCTCAAAATAAAATTGACATCGCTTGTATCACAGAAACCCATCTGATATCAACGGAAAAATTTACGATTCCTGGTTATCTCGTTTACAGATCAGACAGGGATGCGCCTAGAGCGTCTGGCGGAGTTGCCATTGCGGTTAAAAGAAACATTGCTCATCACTCATTGTATCTACCTCACATGAATAACCTAGAAATTACAGCCATAAAAATAAGAATAAACAACGTTGATATTATTTTATATTCTGCTTATCATGCTCCACGGTACAAGTTTTCAAAAACGTACATTGAAAACCTCTTTTCAGATAATACTCCTACTATTTTACTAGGCGATCTAAACTGTAAGCATGAAGCTTGGGGATGCCTGAAGACAAATCCAAATGGAAGACTACTCTTAGCCGCTGCCACTGCCTACGGAGTATCAATTGTTGCCCCAAATGAACCTATTCATTACTCATTTAACCACAATGTCAGGCCAGACATTTTAGACATTGGATTATTTAGAAATATGCCTCACCCAACACACATGACACCACTAATTGACCTTGATTCCGATCATCTACACAAACAACAGGTTAAATGGGAGTTTTTTTTACGATTGATGACAGTTTTATGCGTTAAAGATTGCTTTAGTAACGGTTGTTTTGAATTTGAATTTACTACGCGAGCACAACCTCTTTATACTGTATGCTTTCTTGTAAAGATATTCGCAGTTTCAATTAAGTTAAACAATTTTTAACATCCCGTTGTTACAATTATTTAATCTTACATTCCTCGTCCCTAATATGATAACACGTCATCAAAGGTTACATATTCATGCATTACACCAATAACGAGATGGCCTGGGGCGGTGCCTCAACAAGTAAAAGTGCAAAAAAATATCTCCTATAATAATAAAACGTAACAAGGTTTTTTTATTTCACGATTTTAAATCAACCACTTGACGGATTTTTATGATTTTTGTGTTGAAAGAAAGATAATTTTGAGAACTAGGGAATGTCGAAGCCATAATTTTAGTTTAGGGTTTCAGTTTTTTGGAAATTAAGTTTAAATTTTTTAAAGTCTAGCAGCCGACGCTAACATTCTACAGAATGGCTTTTTGTATAAAACCATTTGCTTAACGTAACAGCTGTAAACATTCAGAAAGGTTTGTTTTAGTGCAATATAATTTGTTTGAACTAACAGCTGGATAGATATAAATATATTCTATGGAACTAGGGGGTTATTTAATTTGGTCATTGATTATAGGAAATAAGTAAGATTAATAGGGATTAAGTAGACAGTAGAGATAAGGAAGCCCTTTGCCTTCTACAAATAGAGGCTCTGCCCACGAGTCTTCAAATAAAAGAAAAGCCTATATAAATTTATTATTTTACGAGATTTATTCAAAACAAACGATCTGTTATTGTTTTTACTTTTTTTGTTTACTAATTTATTTAGCAATTTATACAGTGAAATTGATTCAAAGGATAGGTATGGACGATTTTTAATAATGTCAGGACAATGTTGGCAACCCAAATTTTTTGTTGGTAATTCAAATGTCAACAGGTGTAGTAGGTCACTAGAAAACTCTCCAATAAGCTGCATGTTGTCTGTAGATACCAAATTGGATTCATTTCATACCATAATATCCCAGTAGTGTATGGTTCAGAAACTTGGGCACTGACCAAAGAACCGAAACCCCGTATTGCTGAGTTTGAGAAATAGAGTGCAGAGAAAATATACGGGCCATTTGAAGTAACGGAGGTTGAGATACGAAAGAACAGAGAGCTAAGAGCAATATTTAAACACCTATATATGCGTGGAGGAGAAAAGATACATTAACTTTTTAAATCTTACCAATGAGTACCGACCACAAATTAGACGACCACTTGCAGGATCAAGCAGTGAAATACTTCATCAGACTTGGATCAACATTAACAGAGTCAAGGGATAGAAGAGAATGAGAGGCCAAAATCCTAAAAAAATTGTTTTAATCTGCCTTTGTTATTGATAGCTTCTATAAATTAAACATAGGCTATACTTATTTTTAAATGTGAGGTAGGCCTATACTTTTTTATATGTTCGCTATAAAAAGCTTTAATATTCCTGTTAGGATGTGTAGAGAATGGTACAGTATTTTCATTACCGGTACTTAAAAAGAATTACCTAAATATACTAAATTAATAATTTCTGATTGGTAAATAGCACCTGCATTTGTAAAGAAAATAAATACAAAGAAAATGTTATTTAAATTAAATACAGATCTAACTATTGTACACATTTAAATACATTAATAGATTTTTATATCTATAATGAACAAAGGTAGTCGTCATGCCATTCTATAAGATTTTGATTTTAACAATAAAAGTACATTTTATCAAATCCATAGCAACGATATTTTTAGTGCTATTTCTGTGGTCCTTAAAGTCACTTCGTATTGCATTTTGTCCAAACTTTTACATTTTTCTAACGTCTACACTTTCTAGATTTCATCCTTCACGATGATTTTGGACTTCGTCCGGTAAGTAAATACAAGTTTTAATATTTTATTGACAGTAGGTATAAGTTTGACTGTTTGATATGGAGGAATAACTGAATTGTTTGTTACCTGCTCATGGCTTGCATTTATTCATATTTTCCTTGAATATGGGAGTGTTTTTTAATGTTTTGCTAAGTTTTTTAGGGTCAAAAGATTTAGTATGGATGAGGTTTGCTAATTGGGTTGAATATCTGTAGGTACGGCATGTTTGTACACACTTGTAGTGAATAGGTCTTTGTTAAGTTGTTATGATTGGTCTGCTTCACTTTAGTAGTTAGTAAGTTAATAAGTTAAATGAGATTTGAGTTAAGTTTGTGCATTACCTTTTTTCATTTTATAGTTAACAATTCAAAATCTATGTAAAAAATCAAAATCCCAGATCAGTTTTTGTGTTGCTCTAAATACACACTAGCCTATCACTTGTTCAATGACCCTTGCTTGCGTTTGGTTTTGAATTACTGTGTAATATTCAGAAAGGAGATTCAATCTACCTACCTTTACTATGTGTTTCAAAGCTTCCTTTACCCAAGTCTTGTGAACACTCTGGGATGAATTGATTAGTCTAATGATCCAATGATTGATTTGTTCTCTTCTCCGGTGCTCCACCTCGTTGTGAGTGGCTTCGTCTGTCATCTCTAGGTCGTCACTGAGAAGAAGTGGACCTAGTGTTGACAGATTCACTTTGGATGTTCATATTTCGTTGAGATTAAGGTGCAGGGTTGTGTTGGTTCCGTGGTAAGAATATTTTGTGAGTGAGCAGAACACAAGTAGTTGACCATTGTCAGAGTTCTTATATCAGTGGCTTGCACTCTGTGGCCCTGGGAGCAGTTGTAGCTGTAACTGTTTGATGTGATGATTGTCTTTCTTTGTTTCTTTTTTGTCTTCTTGTTTCTTTGTCTATTTCCTCTCCCCCGACTACCTTTGAAAGTCACACCATCCGCAGAACGTTTCTGGTATGAGATCACTACCTCACTGTCATCTAGGTCCGTACACAGTAATTAGAGTTCAAAATTGTCTGTTGGTTAGTAATTATTTCTTTTTCAAGATTTAGTATCACCTTTCTTTTCAGTTTACGATTTACAATAATTTCATTAATTTCAAAATAAACAAAAATACAAATAAAAATCACAGCTGTTGCTGCAGACAAAAAGTAAGATCAAAATCAATTTATTACTGAAAGATAAATTACAACATTTTATAGAAGAAAGTAATTTTGTGGTAATTTTCAAAAAAAATCCACGTCTGTGTTTGGAAATGTGCCGATACAATCCGTCCACGTCCACTAAGGCAAGTTAGTCGCAATTCAGAAACACACAAATACTGGCTTATCCTGACCGTTTGTTTATTTTTAGTGCTGTCAGACAATAGTCTTGTTAGCACCCAAGGGTTAGCACCAACTTTCCAATTTGTTTTTGTTTCCCATATGAAGGATCTCTATCAAGGCCCCACTTTGGTGGCCAGCTTACAACAAGCTCTAAACAAATATCCCAGGGTATAAAAGATTGGTGCATCTCTTTTTAAATGCACCTGCAAATGTTTAAGATTCAACTTTGAATTTATCTGTTAAGATGGACTTAGCTCAGGATTTTGTATCCAACACGAATTTATGTGTATCAGCCTACAGAGTAGGTGAATAGCTAAATATCTCTCTTTTCCCAAATTGAGTTCAATCAAAGGTTCAATATAGGTAAAAAAGTTTATTACTTACAACTTTATCAAATCCATGGTAACCATCAGGTCAGAGTATTTTTTACAACCTTTGGAACTACTAGCATATTTTTATAGCCTCTATTTTTACAAGTTTTATCTGCTGCTTATATACTATTTTCTAATTTTCCACGTTCATGATGGTCCTTAACGTTGTTCGGTGAGTAATGATTTTATCAATATTATAATGTACATTTTAATTATGTTGTTTCATTAAAGATAATTACATGATTTCTTCATTATTGGATATTCATGTTTTCAAAGGAGAGGATCCTTGAGTCCACAAAGAGAAGAAAGATAGTATTATATTTTGGTGTACCATATTGTCTTATAATATAAAAAAACGTGTTTGTAGGATGTTTGTAGTATTGTAAGATGTTAGGATGATTTTGTTTGTGTGTTTTAGTTGTATTGAGTAAAAATGACTCATAACAAACTGTTAACTAAACATAATGCAGTTTCAATCTCCTCAACTAAACTCATTTTAATAGCATTTACGAATGATTGGATAAGTAATTATGTTTCCATGTATCATAATTAATAATAGTATAATATGTAGTGTATTAATAGTGTATTTTAATTAATTAATAATAGTCTAATAGTGTATTTTAATGGTGTAATAATAGTGTATGTAATTAAGAAACTAAAAGTCTTGTTGTTTCTTGCACTTGATATTTTTTAATGTTTTATAGGGTCAATTTTGCACTCATAGTCTGTTTATAATCATAATTAAAGTCTCATTACTGGAAAAAGAACACATGGTATTTGGAGAATCTTATGTGGCGATCGTTTTATCTGTTACCAACGATATGTTACTGGATGAACTATGCACTACTTACATGCACCCTCAGTTGAATCTAGTAATTGAATCGATAAAAAAGGTTGTCTTTATTAAAATAAATACATTTTCAGGGACCACCCGATCCTCTGTTTGGTCGCTGCCGGCTGCACTGCCTCGCTGGGGTACTTCTGGATGACCAGAGAGCGCCCGCCTGCACCTGCACCAACCCCACCACCAACACCAAGCCCCTCCGTCAGCTCCTCGTCCAGCGACAGCCAAATCTTCTACCCTGCGAACGAGGAGCTGGACGTGAGTATCCATATTGATTGAGATTACAAGCGTTAAAAGTGTAGTTTAATTTCTTAGGAAAGCTTTCGCAAAAGATTGAGTTTAAGAATGGAAGTATCATGTAAAGAGTATCATAAAAACCAAAAACACTGTTCGATGAAACAGTAATAGATTGGATATTATTAATGCTATGTATTTAAAAGCAATGGCATGGGGTCTGCCAACAGAAATATTTCAGATTTAAATACGGAAATTTGGTATAATATAATGTATCATAGCATTATGAGTGAAAATAAAAGTGGTTACTCATAATCAAAATACAAACTTTTAGACTTATATTTTTGAGTTTTCCAATGATTATTTTCTTACAATCTAAAGATTAAATTTCAAGTAAATTGATATATTTACTTGACATTTACTCCTTAGATTGTACGTCTCATATTAGAGGATAATCTCAAACAAAGATCCCTTCCATGAACGAGTCTAGCTGGTTATTATTTAGTTGGAACTGAGAAGTATTCACTATGAGTTCAAGCCAGAAATACATTTTACTAATGTATGTGCAAATATGTTTACAGGACGTTTGGCCACAGGTGCAGGTGCAGGGCCCCAGCGGGGACCATTAAGACACACAAGCTACAGAGACACAAGTACCCACGACCATCTAGGGTAACAGTGCAGCCGGACAGAAGAAAAGAAAGGGCCATGCCCAAAAGGCGCAGAACACGCGCAAAGGAGAAAAGGAAGGGGCAACAATAAGAAATAAGACTAAATCTCATGTGACCGTGATCAACAGTCATAGAAGGATGAGCAAAGAAGTTAAAAGTCAAGAAAGGGGCAGCAACAAAATCTTCGGGCGTAACACACAAAGAAATAAGACTAAGTTTAAGGCGAAAGTATCGTGCTCAAAAGTCATAGAAGGATGAGCAAAGAAGTTAAAAGCAAAGAACGGGGCAGCAACAAGTAACTAACCTATAAAGCAAACAAGATCAATAATTGACAAACCTCTGCATTTTTTATGTTGAAGAGTTACATTTGAAAAATAAACTTGATTACAATGAAATAAATCTCTTTTGTCTTGCTATGAAATTTGGAGGTTAATAATTTATATATAAAAGTTTTGAATTCTTCCATTAAAAGTGAAAAATTGAAATTAAAAACCGTTGTCTCACTAAACTAAAAAAAGTTCACGCATAAACTTTTCCTAAAAAAATATTTGGGTCCCACCAACTTGGGCCCATCAACCTTCTTAGTGGTGATGTTGCTTATGAATGTGAATTCACAATACTTATTCTTATTGAAATCACATTACACTAACACTAAGTTGAGTTTTTAAAAGAATATCACTTGGACAACTTGATTCAAGTTACAGTTAGTAGTAGTATTAACTTGTTTTAAACACACGTTATATCTTCAAGAAAAACTGTTAACATTTTTTTTTCATCACAATTTTATTTTCAATCTGTTCATTTTTAGAACATTCAGCAAATACAATAACAACTATTATTGGTTTGAAAATAATTTAAAATAGAACCTGCGCCGATATTTAAAAAAAACTTATGAGTGCTTTCGCCAGCTATGCTGTCATCATCAAACGTTGTAGTAATAGAGATCGATGCATCAGACACATTACAAAAACTGAAGGTTATGTATACAATAATAAATGTTAAAAATAACAAACATATGGGTAGGGTAAGTTAAAAGGAATATTATGTTAAGTACATTAAGGTAAAACTAGTGTCCCTGTTGCTCGAATTCGAGCAATTGCTAAGTATTAGAAGAGTTATTTTAAAAGGATTAACGGTCATAATTTCTGATGACTTTAGAAGATTCGACCAAAAGATTATGGAAATACTCAAGATGTACATAACAGTATTATATCAATTTATCCAGGCTCTCTCGCTTTTTTCCATTGTAATATTTACACTAACCCAAATTCAAATAGTAATATTCCATTTCAACCAAGTCAGTAAATGTTTGTAGCAAACTGTATTAGCAAACTTATTGAATACTAGCTGTAACCCGCGGGCTTTGCCCCGTTTAACTTCTTAATTTTTTAAGATTATCTCGTTCGCATGGCTCAATCATGTCCTGGTTGAAGTTTGTTCGCTACGCTCACTCACCTTTAGGTTGGAGCTCGTTCGCTACGCTCACTCACCTTTAGGTTGGAGCTCGTTCGCTGCGCTCACTTGCCTTCAGGTTAGCTCGTTCGCTACGCTAACTCGCCTCCAGGTTAAGGTTCGTTCGCTGCGCTCACTCACCTTTTGGTTGCAAATTAGCTGTTGTCATAAATGTAAAAGAAATAATAGTGCTGCACCCTGTTGGTAATCCTTGTAACTTTAATGCTATTGAACATCATAGAACAGAACCAACTTGTTTAATTTAAACAGCTGTTAAGATTCAATAATTCCATTTCTCATAAGGTTAACATGGGAAACTCCAGAGCCACTGGGGCGGAGCCCGAAAGGATTTTTGAAATAAGAACATGCCTATATGTTAATTGGGAATGTGAGCTATCATCATGCCAAATTTCAGCCCAATCCGACCAGTATTTTTCGCGTTCACTTGTCACAAACATACATCCATACATCCATACATCCAAACTTTCTCATTTATAATATTAGTAGGATTTAGAATTAACATATGTTCTTCTCACTTTTAACTTCTGACAACAGCTGGAGTTTCATAACAATTTTTGTTTCCCATGTTAATCTTATGGAGAAATACGAAACTTTAAAGGGTCCCAGGGCCTCACTCTCTAATTATTTCCCTAAAAAGAAAGTTTCCTGCACAACTTCACGTTACGCTCTTTCCAATGACACCGAAAACATGTCAATCGGTTCAGTAGTTTCGGAGGAGTAATTGTCACAAAAAACATGCTTGCGTATTAAATAAGTATCCTACTTCCTACTAATATTATAAATGAGAAAGTTTGGATGTATGGATGTATGGATGTATGTTTGTGACAAGTGAACGCGAAAAATACTGGTCGGATTGGGCTGAAATTTGGCATGATGATAGCTCACATTCCCGATTAACATATAGGCATATTCTTATTTCAAAAATCCTTTCGGGCTCCGCCCCAGTGGCTCTGGATTTTCCCATGTTAACCTTATGAGAAATGGAATTATTGAATCTTAACAGCTGTTTCAACTAAACAAGTCGGTTCTGTTCTATGATGTTCAATAGCATTAAAGTTACAAGGATTACCAACAGGGTGCAGCACTATTATTTCTTTTACATTTATGACAACAGCTAATTTGCAACCAAAAGGTGAGTGAGCGTATCGAACGAACTTCAACCTGGAGGCGAGTTAGCGTAGCGAACGAGCTAACCTGAAGGCAAGTGAGCGCAGCGAACGAGCTCCAACCTAAAGGTGAGTGAGCGTAGCGAACGAGCTCCAACCTAAAGGTGAGTGAGCGTAGTGAACAAACTTCAACCAGGACGTGATTGAGCCATGCGAACGAGATAATCTTCAAAATTAAGAAGTTAAACGGGGCAAAGCCCGCGGGTTACAGCTAGTAGATTATAAAAATAATTATTAATACAAATTATAAATACAACACAAATTATAAATTTATAAATAATACAAATTAATAATACAAATTAATAAATAATTATACAAAAATAAAATCTGAAGTAAGTTTAGTCTAATGGGTTAGTTGAACTCTTACAGTTTTGTTAATTTTGAAATTAGTAATTTTGAATTTAGTAATGTTACTTTTGAATTGGACCATTACCTTATTTACTAGACTGTCTATTTTATTTATGAATAATGATTCCCAAGCGTTAGGTTCATTGGGTTTGGTTACATTTTTCAGCGAATTAGTATTTTTAATTGAAATTAATTGTATGGTCTTTTTCTAAACAATGTCTCGCTAAAGCTGATCTCTCTGGTCTGTTTGTCTAATTTAATTTTAGGATTTTCAAGAGTATTTTTTATTTAGTTTATTGTTAAAATGAAACAATTAATTTAGCATTTTCTCAAATGTTTTCTTGGTGTCTTTATAATACGTTGTATAGGTGGTGTTCATCCATTCTTTCTTTCCCTTTATCGGTTCTAGTTTAGTTATTTTCTTTTTATTATTTATTTTTAAAGCTTTTATCACCATGTTGTATATCATTTTGGTCTCATACCCATTATATTTATTTATGAATTTTAATTCTTTGTTATAATTTTCTTCAGATAGTGGAGTGTTTAAGAGGCGATAAATCATTTAATTGAAAGCCGAGCTTTTGTTCTGGAGAGTGATGAGAAAAAAAAAATGGCGTAGTTTCTATTTTAAATTACACGTTATATCATAATCTATTGATAGCCTACTCCATTTGGCGCTAAACTACAGAACTGGTGTATTTATTTTTATTTTAGAATACACTCTGAGTAAAGGATTATCATTTTTCAAAGATTGACGTATAACAATAGTTTAGTGAGTCGGTGGCTCAGTCGGTAGCGTCGCGGACTTCGGGCCCAAGGCAGCGATGCCGTGGGTTCGGATCCTGGTCACTGTCGATAACAATTTTATCAGTACAGTTCACCTTTGTACTGTACCGGCTCACTCCTTGCTTTACTGTTATCGATCCACGCACGGGCGCTTAGTCTATGTGGACGGGCAAATGCAAGGTTAAAAGAGGCCGCCAACCTCTTAAAAAAAAAATATATATATATAACGTTATATATATAACCTGGTGAGTTGTGTTTTGCCGACGCCTCGCGCTAAAGTTATTGGAGATGCGTGGTAGTTAGGCAATTGTTTTGTTTGGTTATATATCTACTGTTGAATTGACGAAAGAATTGGTAGAATTTACAGTATTTACGCTACTACACATTCCACAGTTCACAAAAAATTGCGTGTTATATCAAATCAATTCACCGCCGTACCAGCCTGTATGTGTGACGTCCCAGCATCGTGTGGCCAAGTTATGCGGCTCACTCCACATAATGTATCAGTAACCACATGCCGTGGTCTGTGTTGGTAAATCAGCTGAGTTATGGAGCCAAAACTGAGCCCAGCCTTCACCTTGGATCAGGTTTCTTTTCCTTTCCCTCGCGAGCGCAAAATTGCGATAACAAGTTCAGCTGTGATATACTGATACACTTGCCTCTTGGTATTTCACTTGGGAAATACCTAGCATCTCGTTAAAGAACGAGATGCTAGCCTGTCCTACGTACGGGAATTAAGTAGTCAGTTAAAACTGTGTACAATTCAGAACACCTGGTTTACACGTATAAAGACAAAATATTTTCTTCCAGTTTTAATGTGAAAAATGATCTTGTAAACAAATGTTGAGTAGCCAAATAGGTTTTATTCCATCACTAGCTGTGTACCCGTTCTACGCACGGGGATCTTATAGTATTCAGTTGAAACCTTATATAAAGAACAGCAGTTGGTTTGCATATTTGCAGATATGCTGGCAAAACTATTACAGTATATATAAACCTTCGCAAATACAGTATCTGACAGTTCAAGCCAAAATAAATGCTTCGCAATTAAATGTCACCCGGATCGTTATGGTCCATATGTCCAATGATGCTGATGGTTTGCAATGATGGTTTTAGAATTTAAAAGTTCGAAAGTTCCTACCCTTAAGGGCGTGGGACCTTTTCAAATGTCGGGTTTTCACCATGTTAATGATTGTATTACCTATCAATCTTTCTTCCGAAAATAAACTAAAATGTCCAGAAATGCTATTTAAGAGTTAGGTACATTAACTTTCTCTAAATTAACTGAATCAAAGTACAATATATTTAATGCTACAGAATATAAATCCAACCGATTTATTTATTGATAAATCCAACCGCGAGATGGTGGGTTGTCGAGGTGACACGTTGTCACCAATGAGCGAGGTGGCGCGTTGACGGCACCGAACATTGAGCGTACACGTCAACCCGCCACCTCGTAAAAGAGTGGTGGCGGGTTGACGGGGTGGCACCAAGGGAGTATGTTTTATCTATGGTGGCACGTTGTCGCCTACGTACGAGGTGGCGGGTTGCCGACATCGAACATGGAGCTTCACGACAACCCACCACCTCTGATAAAAACTGGTGTTGGTGGGTTGTCGTGGTGGCATGTTGTCGTGGTGGCTCATTGACTTGATTGTGTACGACAACCC